TGTGGTTTTACACAACAGAAACTCATCTATTGCAAACGTTCTCTTCAGCTCAAATGAGAAGTTTGCATCCAAACTGGCTCATTGTTAAAACCCATGGCCATAGTGCTTCTGCTGGAAGTGACCTGGCATTGCTTGGAGCTCTTTTCCCAGTGGTGCTGTCATCCTTTTCCTAGCACTGATGGTCGATCAGGTGAGCTCTTCTTGACCTTCCCAGAAGCCCTCCTGTGAAATTGTAGGTACATCTTTCCGTATGTAGATGGTAGGACTGACTGCATTATTCCCAGGATTTTCACCCCTGCCTACTGAGAGTCATTAGTATTGCCCCATGCCTGCCGAAGGTATTTCCACTGATCTGTTTTAGGGTTGTATTTCTGCTTTTCCTGCAACTCAGCACCTGCTGGCATTGTCCTCTGCAGCTCCATCTGAGGAGCTCCACCATCCAGCAGAAAAGTTTATTATTCCCTGTGTATATATAATTTATAGGACTATGCATTTTGTATGACTGAATGTCATTCCCTGCTTATTATTCTTCAAAGCCATTCAGCCTCTCCTCTCTGATATCCCAGTCCTCTTCTGTATTAACAGTTCTTGTCAACTTTCCTTCCTCTGCAAAGCTAAGTTAAAATGAAGAGTTGAATAGAGCTGACAGCTTCTTCAAGGAGGGATTAGAGCATAAGCATAAATTTAATTTCAGATGAAAGCCAGGAAATGTAGAAAGGGGATGGACTTCCCTAGGTCTGGGGTCTGCTTTGACCTCAGACATGAGCAGACAGCATGTGGAAAGGAGGTGGGAAATAGGTGGGATTAGTAGGAGAAAGCACAAAAGGCAAGCACAGGCACATATGGAGAAAAATAGCTATGCTTGGGTAGCTGTCATGTTTAATACCAGCAGTCAAGACCAAGACCTTGATCTCTAGCACATTCATAACAGAGACTTAAAGGAAATCACAAGGAACAGAGGTGATGCAGGAAAAGTCCAGAAAAGCAAACTTGAGGTTATTTTTATAAAGAAGGGAAAAGAGGTGCTGGGGAACAGCTGACTGGTTGGGCTGCTGTCAGATCCCCTCGGGACTGGAATAAACCCTCAAATGCACTGGAGTGAAGCCCCTAAAAGCAGCGATGAGAGCAGGAGCAGGCAGCATTGATCAGTGGAGAAATATTCAAGTCAAACCTATTTCTTTCTGCGAGAAGATGGCAGATCCTGGGGGCTCTACACCAGCAGTAGGTATCCTGAAACTTGTTTTGCTATAAGGCTTTTGATACCGCAAAGGAACACAGTGTGTAAGTCTATGATCTGCATCTTGGAGTGGAAAAAAACATGTATTCTCACAGAACTTCCTTGGTATCAAGTCATCTAATGGCTTCTGTGAATAAATAATCCTGGGTCTTGTAGAAGGCTTTGAGACTGGGAGCCTCTCCACAGGAATGGAGTGGCAAGGTGGGATCAACAGTGTAGAAGATGTAGGAAAGACGCTTGATTAACTTGTAGGTATTTAACCTGCTCCACCAATTAACAGATAACCAATGGGTCAGATGTGTTCAACCACTGCAGCATTTAACAAGCTTTGTTGCTTAAATATTGGGGGGTGGCCTCAGAAAAGCATGGCAGAAAAGATTTTTGTTTTCTCCCGTGCACACAGGTGTTGGGACAACGTATGTCAAGTAAAGTTTTCAAGCCTTATGCCTCAGCACCTTTTGTAGTGAGGGGAATATAGACCTGGTATTTTGGTGGCACTCTGCTTCTCAAACTCAGTAAGAGACTTTGTTACCATTTTAGACTAAATTGAGAAAGCTGATGAGTTTACCGTTTGGAGCAAAAATGAGGAAAATTCAGTCTTCTGGTGTATCAGATGAGCCTTATGGCTCCCTGCTACAATCAAATTATCCACCCCCCTCCTATTGGGAGATGAACAGATGCAAACCCCAGAGACTCAGAAGCTCCCAAGGCTAATAATGCTGTGTTTTTTTCATGTCAGAAGTATTTTTGTGTTTGTCGAAAGATTCACTTGCACAGCCGTAACATCTCTCTCTGCCGTGCCTGGAACAGATGCGTGTGTTGTAATATAGACTGTGAACATTGACATCGCATGTGGTTCTCATTCCTCCCATTCATCTTTGAAGCTAATTGGTTCCATCCATTTCAAATGTGTTTGGCTCGCCACAGCTATTTGTACTTTCACTCTGGTTATAGCGCTAATGGTGTGATATATATAACATGAAATAAACTCTCGTGACTCCGAGGTCTGAAGAGACACATACACAGTACTTGCATTTTGCTTGCTGGGTTGGGCTTTTTAAAATTATGTCCCCCAGACAGTTTTTTTTCTCTCCACTGAGAATGTTATCAACTAGGTGGTGCCTAAGATGAGGATCAGGAGATGCCTGGGGTGATTGTGGCTCATTCAGAAGCACAGAAGCTCAGAAAATGCAAAAAAAGGAGCCTGTCAGTGTTTGTCAAGTATGAAAGGGTTTGCAACTCATCTGCTGGTGCTGGACCTGCTGTCTGGCTCCGGTATTGCTCCTTAGCAAGATACTGGGACTGGCATTGTTATGAACTTGTGAGTTGTCTTGTCTGTGTGGTTTAATACTGTGAAGATATGGAGTAGCAAAAGAAAAAAGTAAATTAACAGAAGTAATAAATTAAATAATACCATCTAATGGAAGAGAGACACTGTCTCCCATAACGTCCTCATAGGTAAGCTTAGGAAGCGTGGGTTAGAATGGAGAGTGAGGTGGATCAAAAACTGGCTGAATGGCAGAGTTAAGAGGGTTACAATCAGCAGAGTAGAATCCAGTTGACTACTGCCTGTAGTCAGTGGTGTTCCCCAGGGATCAGTACTGGGTCTGGTCTTATTCAACTTGTTTATCAGTGACCTGGAAGAAGGGCTAGAGTGTTCCCTCAGCAAGTTTGCTGATGATACAGAGCAGGGAGCAGTGGCTGATACACCTGAAGCTGTGCTGCCAATCAGCAGGACCTTGATAGACTGGATAATTGGGCACAGAGAAACCTAATGAGGTTTAATAAGGGCAAGTATAGAATACTGCCCCTGAAGAGGAAGAATTCCAAGATTCAGCACAGGTTGGGGACTGACTTACTAAAGAGCAGTTCAGCTGAGAAAGGACCTGGGAGTATTGGTGGATGATAAGTTGAACATGAGCTGGCAGTGTGCCCTTGCAGCCAGGAGGGACAAGAGCATTCTGGAGTGCATCAGGAGGAGTGTGGCCAGCCGTCGAGGGAGGTGATCGTTCTCCTCTACTCAGCCCTGGTGAGGCCACATCTGGAGTACTATGTCCAGTTCTGGGCTCCTCAATACAAGAAAGACAAGGAGCGACTGGAGAGGGTCCAGCAGAGGCCACAAGGATGAGCAGGGGTCTGGAGCATCTCTCTGGTGCGACATTGCAGGGGCTCTGCCTGGTTAGTCTCAAGAAGAGACAACTGAGAGGGGATCTCATTAATGTATATAAATATCTCAAAGGACAGGACCAGGAGGAGCGTGCCAGACTCTTTTCAGTGGTGCCCAGCAACAGGACAAGGAGCAATGCCCATAAACTAAACCACAAGAAGTTTCACCTCAACATGAGGAAAAACTTTATGCTGAGGGTGGCAGAGCACCCAGGAGGGTTGTGGAGCCTCCCTCTCTGCAGATGTTCCAAACCCACCTGGACATGTTCCTGTGTAACCTGCTCTGGGTGTTGGACTAGATGATCTGCAGAGGTCCCTTCCAACCCTCATGATTCTGTAGTAATTTTCCCATGACGCAGCAGCAGAATGTAGGCAAATTAATCTTCCTGTTGAGGAGGCATTGGTAAGGTTACTGGGTATTTCTCTGGTCCTTCTCTTTCCTCTAACTAGCCACAGAATGTGGCACTTCTGTACTAACTGGTAATTTGTCTTTCTCTACCACTGCAGACTCGAAGCAACCTTGTTACCTTCCATTCGTTACAAGTCTATCTCAGTTAAAGGTGATTTCCATCTTCGATGTGTGTTTAAACCCAGGTTTTAGAGGGATTTCACTGATGAACAGCAAGGGAATATTTGGGGATTTTTACAGTTCATTCCCATCCATGATTAATTTTTGAGGAAGCAATGGGACGTGTTTCACACTTCACCTTCTGCTCAAAAAGTAATGTAGTTTCTCAGCTTCACTATAAATATTTTCACTTCTTGCTAGAGAGTCTTGTATTCTCATTGTTTTAAAAAGCCATTTCATGCTAATTCTTTGCTTTTGTTTTTATAAGTATTTTATTATTTTTAAACATCTTGGCTTGCAAGTATTTGGGTTACTGCTTTGAGAGCTGTGTCATGCTAACTTTCTTCTTACCTGCCCTCATCAGAAAGCATGTGAGCTTTAAGTGTTAAGCTTGGTGATTTCAAGCCAAGAGAGACAATTCATGTATGGCTGCATAGACTGCAAATGCATCCATTGTCCACTTGAAAAATAATCTGCTATTTAGGGACTGTGTTTTTGAATGGTTTCTGCTGAGTCTCAGGATTTCTGCTGTGTGAAGGTTTGAGGTGCTTGCGCTTCTATCAGCAGTGTAAGGGGGATACATACAGCAGGTCTCTGGGAAAAACTCTGAGCAGTGTTCAGCAGAGCTGGAACTAAGCTGGTATCTGAGAGTAAAGCTCTGGCTTAAGGCTGAAAAGCATCTGTCACCGGAGCTTTGCTGTTAGCCACAGTCAAGTGGTTTAACTCATCTTTGCGATACGCGGAAGAGGTGCCCATCCAAACTCACTCACTTGCATTATACCAACCACAGGTAGCTAGTTTGAGAGAGGGTAAAGATCTTGGTACCAGTAATATCATCATACCTTCCCAGCAATGATTTGTAAAACACAGAAGACTACATCTTTGGCTTACTGGTTTTGTTGTGAATTTTGTTCCAGCTCTGGAGAGACACCCTCTGGATCAGTGGGTGTTGGTGGCGGGGGGATCTTCTAAAATGAAATGATAACTGAATTTCACTAGTTTGGTTTTTTTTGTTGTTGTTTTTTGTAGGTCCAAGTTCAGTGAAAAACAAGAAAAAGGGTAAGTCTGAGTTTTGATTTAATTTTCCTTTTTGTGCCCGTATTACCCAGCTTTGAGTCCTCTTTAGCCAACACAAAGGAGAAACCAACAGCAGGTTCCCTCTGTGGGAAGGACAGGGAGTAATGTGGTGTGTGATCCCACAGTACAGACCATGAGCTGCTCTCGTGCACCTGCATTGCTGTGGCAGGGCTGTACAACCAGAGCACAGGCCTCATTAGAGTCTTCCTTAAAAACTAAAGGAAGTTAATTACCTTGTATTGAAGTAAGTATGAAGATACCAGCTATCAGGAGTCACTTGCTGTTTGCCAGGCTGTCTCTAATGAAATAGCTTTAGCTTTCGTCCCTATCCTGCCATTCATCTTGCTGCAGGTTGGGGTCTCCTTCAGACCCACCCAGGTCAGCGTAGATAACCTCTGCATCTCACTTCTGGTTGTGTATTAACCTCACAAGTATTATTTTATATGTCTGTTCTGAGTGTTGGTCAGCCAGAGATACTTTTTCTGACTTCCTTATTTTCCTCAACCTGTTTTTGCAATGTAGTTGGGTAGTTTTTAAAATGCCTATCAATGACTTGTTGTGACTTTGGCTATTCAGGAGGCAGCCCCGTATTTCCATGGGGTGTCTGGTTGTGTCCTTCTTTGTGTAGGACTCCTGGTGAATGCTTATGGTCATACACTTACTTGCTACCAGGAACTTGAGTGAGTTAGAGAATCTGAGTTGCTTTGTAAACACAAATATGCTGCAGTCTTGCTTCTTCCAGGGAAACACAGTCAGATTACCCCTTTCTGCTCCTTGTCACCGTATGTACATGGTGTGTGATCACAACAGGTTGTAGGTTATGAGAAGTGCAGAAGCTGTGTGTGGCTTGGGGCTGTGCTGCTTCTGCAGCTCAATCCACTGAGGGGCTCGCAGAGGTATCAACATGCATTGCATGCTCACGACCAAGCCTATACAGCAAAGCATAGTTGACATGTGCCATGTCAACTCCCTGCTTACTACCTATTGCACCTAATGTATATGTAATTAACAGGAGTGTTAACTGGTCAGCACTTTGTTGCATCCCTCAAGAGACCTTCCCAGTCCAGCCCACCACCATGACCTGTGGCAGCATGAGCAGCTGAGCTTTGCGTGTCTGTGCTACTTTAACAGCACATCAAATTGCTTTTATCCTTGGATACAAACTTGGATTATTGCTTTTAATCCTTGGATACAAACTCCAAATTTACAGTTGAAAGGTTGAGACAGGCCGCAGTTAGGAACTTAGTTTATATTTACTCTCAAAAGCATCATAAAACTTTATGTTTGAGAAGTTTGTTGTAACAAAGCCCTGTAACTCTAAACCCATGTTGACTCAGCCGAACTAATAACAAATGGTGACTGTGGTCTTTGTAGCAATTCTGGTGTAGCAGGAGGATCTTGTAAAGCTGTATTATATACGGCTGTAGCACTGTATAAAATCATTTAATTTTATGGTATTGTCGTATTAAATTTTTTTAGAGTTAGAGCTTATTGTTTGGCAAACGATAGTTAAGGAAAAATTATTGGTTCTGCCCGCTTTAAATTTGGGAGCCTGCTTAGTGCATGTGTGTAAAGCGGGAGATGTGGCACACTGGAACTTCGATTCTGCAGACCCCCTGTGGGGCTGGGGTCCCCTCAGGTAGAAGATGAATCAAGAGCTTTATACTCACTGAATATCTATTTTTTGCCTTGTGACTTTAATAAGTCAGGTTCCATTAATGCATAAAAGTGATTGGAATTACTTGAAGGAACGGGGATTCACAGGAAGTGTCCCTGTGCAGCATCAGAGTTATGTGCAGTTGTTTTTACTAGTAAGCTAGCAGCCCATTTAGTAGCAGATCCAATTTCTGAGACAGATTAGTTAAACCAGTTGTAATGTGTATCCCTCCTGAGAAGGAAAGCAAGGAGTGACAGCAGCAGGATTTCTGACTTGCTGCATGTGAATCCTTCATGGCAATGGCCTGTATCTGAGGGAATGTGAATGAGAAGAATTTAGCAAGTGTGCTTTAGGGGAAATAGGTAAGGGGTTTGATTCAGGGTGATAGTTTCCAAAGTGTGTTGTTAACCCAAGGAGGAGGAGAATTTCTGGATTAGAGGAAAGCTGGCCTGTTGCCAGCTCAGATTTGAAGGCACAGCTACTAACCTGGGCAGAAATATTGCTGCAAACGATTTGTCGCAGGTAAGAAACCCATCTTTGTAGGATACCAGCATTATTTTAATCGTCTGTGCTTACTTTAACTTAGTTTTCTGCACAGTGAAACTAAGCCACATGGTTGTCCTAAGCTGATTTCCATGTGTCCTTGTTCATGGCTAGTAGCCATCTGGAGATCTCCGTTTCTGTGCTAACTAAAATAGATGGGGTTTTCCTTGTTTTGTTCCATGACAAAGATGAATATTTACTAGAGAAACAAGTACATAAATGTACTCAGAAACCATTGCAATAATCATTATTTCATATCCTAACTGCTGCTGTCATCAAAAAAAGTATTTCATTCTGTCTTACAGTGGACTTTGTTGCAGCAATTGGAGCAATTTTGCTAAATTAATAAAGCTTTTTGGCATAAAAGCTGTTAAAGTTGCATTTTTAAAGCTACATCGAAATAATATGATTTCTATCAGGGATCTGGAACATCTGGAGACCACAGGTCAGGCTTTCCATCCAAACCTTATTTCAGTCCCCTATGTGGATTGAAAGTTGTATTAAGAGTCTTCATTTGCATGATTGTGCTGTTTCCCCCTCTGGGACCATGTGGTGAGATGTGTTTGAGGACTGCGGCAATTTGTCGGTGCTTTCATCCTTCTTGTTGGATTAGTGCTTCCCTTACCCCTCCATCCAAAGCCAAAAATGCACATTTGATGATTTTGATGCATAGTAGCATCAACTTCGTGCACATTAAGTGCCTCCTCATTACACCATAGAGAGGTGCCACTTCATCCTGGAGCAGTGTGAGGATGCCTCCTGCATCACCCTGGGCGCTCAGCAGCTGAAGTTCAGCTCTGAACTGCCCTCTGGAGGCACCTCTCTCCCTCAGGAGACCAAGCCATGGGGGTGGTATGCTAATGCACACATATGCAGCAGGTAGAAAAGATTGCAACTGTTTGTCATCAAAATAAATGGAAAACTGAGAAACCGCAGAGTGGCTCATCTCCACTGTCAATACTCTGCCTTTTGCCGTGGCGCACTGTGGTGTGCAGTTGGTCTAAAGGGACTGTCTTAACCTTGACTGAGGGCTGCTGGATGCCCCCAGCCCTGTGCGAAGAGCAGGATGCCCAGGGAACCCCTGTGGCCAGAGCTTTGGGGCAGAGACCATCCGAGTTTCCATCTCCTGGGAGGCCTTGGAGAGTGCAGGTGCCTCATTTAAATGTACTTACATACACTGGAAGGAATCTGCAAGGCAGTGACCTGCTTCTGCCCTGCTGGCAGCATTGTCCTCATGGTGCAGAGCCATGGGACCCCCACCCTGGCCACTTGGGTGCTACTCTTTGTCCCTGCCCTCCAGCCAGCAATGAGCCATTCCCAATCTTATGCCTCCTTTGTTCTTGGGGCTTTCTTGTAGGTAAAAGACCATCCCACCCTTGGCATGCTGAGAAGCTAACATTTCACCTTCTATGTTTTAGGTAAGAAGGCTGGTCCTCCAGGGCCCAATGGACCTCAAGGGCCACCAGGTCCTCCTGGGCCCCAGGGTCCGCCTGGCATTCCCGGCATCCCTGGGATTCCCGGCACAACTGTCATGGGACCACCTGGCCCCCCTGGCCCGCCGGGCCCTCAGGGACCACCTGGACTGCAGGGCCCCTCAGGTAACCAGCTTGTCCCCTTTTCTGCTTGGAGCACGTGGGGGGCATGCAGGAGGTGCCAGTGCTGTACAAATAAATCAGAGCTCCAGGTTTCCATCTGAGGACAGCAGAGTATTTGCATGCGATGGTGCAGTGTCCTTGCGTAGGACTCAGGTGTTCCTGGGCTTGTCCTTGGGGAATTGAGAGGAGGAGCCTGGCAGCAGTGGTTTAGGGCGCGATGCCATGGGCAAGGGCATGCCCGTCGAATGAGGATGCAGAGAAAGAGCAGCTAAGACCTGCAGAGCCTCAGTTACTTTTTAAACATCCTAGTGAAGTCGGCCAGTGATCAATGTCCTGGCTGCTAGGTGGCTCTTCCCAGCGGGAATCCTCTAACACAAAGCCTTGCTTTGCATTGCAACCAGGAAGGCTGACACTTCACCAAGCCATTAAGCCAGCCCTGGAGCCACATGAACTGAGACAGCTTGACTCCCACACCAGCCAGATGAAAATATGGGTTTTTTCCTGCAGTTCTTGGTTTCTTTTTTCTTTGTTTCTTTGTATCTGCGCCATACTGTTTCTCCGAGGAGTCATGAGCCAATTATTTTGCTAAATTCCCTGAATTTAATAACTCTTTAAAATGCAGAGTAGTAGAAGTTCACATTGGTGTTGTTTGTTGTATATATGTGAATTGTCTAGTATTAAAAAATGTATCTTCAGGGAAATCCAGACTATTACCCTATAGCTCACATGGCTCTCAAGGGAAAACTTGGTTGCCTTCTCAGTTTATATCTCAGAATTGTCAAATCAGCAGCCAGGAGCAGCATGAGGTCCTTAGCACTCCAGAGTGCTGCCCACAAACATCTTCTCTTTAATAGAGATTTGGCTTTCGGAGAAAAGAGATTTCAGCATGTAGCATGAGTGCAGTGAATGACCTGAGTTACAGCAGAGTGAAACTTGTAATCTTTGCAGCCAAGAGGCTTTATTGCCACTGCTGATCAGGAAAAGGGTTGTGCAATTTTTCCTTCTAGTGGAAACTGGTTGAATAACATTCAGGAATTTTGATGATGGTAGACAGAAATGCAGGAATAAATAGGAAAAAGTAAAATGACTCTTTCTTGTTTATGTGCTTTTTAACATTAAGCTGCACCCCATACTGCTGTTGTCCTCCTGTTAAAAATGGTGTTTTCATGGTTGTTATGGGGTAAGAGAAGTTTTATTTATAGGAGTGTTTACTGCAGCTCTTTCAAGCTTCCTCTTTAATAATGTGAAATTGTATTTTGTAGGTGCCACAGACAAGGCTGGCTCCAGAGACATCCAGGTTGGTTTGTCTTCTTTCAAAGGAAAAACTCAGCTTTGGCTGGATTTTTGTGACCATACCTACCTATGTTTGCTAATGTTATGGTCCGTGGTACAGCTCTGAAAAAAAACACTCCTTCCTGCATGTGCAAAATCAGAGTTACATAGAGTGGCTGAGCTCACCCATTTCATTGCTCGAAAGAAAGCCATGTTAATCCGTCTTGGGCTTCTCACCTCTTCTCCAGTACTTAAACATGTTGTTGTCAGCTGCTCTGAGCTTTTGTTTTCATTTATGAAAAGCATGATCTCAGGGTACTATCATACCTCTGTACTGGTCACCAGGGCTGTGGAGGTGTGTTGAATGACTGTAAAATGATGCAGTTTCCTATTAATTTTAAATCCCTGTGCTCTTGTTTGCAGCCAGCTGTGGTCCATCTTCAAGGCCAAGGCTCAGCAATCCAAGTGAAGAATGGTAAGGATCTCATGATATTAGCAGTTATTGAGAAGAGCCCATCCTACACCCATAGCCACATACCTGGGTCTGTGTCCATCCTACAGCACCATTCCCTGATTATCCCTGCTGTTGGCCTCCCCATGAGACAATCTGTTTCCCCTACCCAAACCCTTTAGAGGAGTCTTCTGTTGAGTCTCTGTCCCCATTTCACCTGCTTTCATGTTTATCTCCCAGATGACCTCTACCTTGTACATCCCAGTAATTCTGTCTCACTGAATCTCTCTTCTCCTTGACCTCCAGACAGATGTTGTGCATCCTTCAACCTGCTGTCATATCATTAATTTTGCTCAGGCCCTCGATGGCCAGCCTTCTTTTTCACTCTATTCTATTCAAAGCCTCCAGTGTATCCTTTTCCTGTCTTAGCCCCATCAGCCTGTGTTTTTTCTCACATTTTCACAGTAATTTCTGGCAGAGGAAGGCACAGTTGTAGTTTGAGAACACAGAGGTGCACAGCCGCTGGCTTCACCTGCGTTATGCTTCAAGCATGCACACATGCAGCCTCCATGGCCCTTTGTACATCTCTACCCCCAACAACAACATTTTAAGCCTTTAAGCTCAAGTCCTGCCAAGCCATTTCATGTCCACAGGCAGCTCCTTTCTCTCCTCTTTCCTTCCCAGATCCCTATCCAATTTCTGCTCAAGTTCCTGCTCTTCTTGCCAACAGCTGGGTCTCATTCATTAGCTGCTGCTTCCCTGCTCAAAATGTCTGGCTGTGCGGGAGAGGAGCTGGCTCTGTTGTCCCCTGCTTAAGTCACCATGTGCAGCTTCCCAGGGAGTGTGGGCAGGAGCCCTGGGGCATGTACCCCCATGCCAGACCTGGAGGGCTGCAGCTCCCAAGGGTTGGGGCAGCAGAGAGAGGACTGTAGGACCCCCTGTCTGCCAGCTTTTGCCCCATGCATGGGATGATGAGGGCTGGACACTGCTTCCGTTGAAAGGCAGTTTCTCTCTTTCAGCAGATATTTGCTGAGAGAGCTGAAATTTCTTATGGTTATGGAAGTATGCATACAGCGGGGTGGAGAAAAGCTCCCCAAAACAAAAAGGAAACCAACCGTTCCCAAGAACAATACAAGGGAAAAGATGCTGTTTTGCTTACATTCAAAAATTATCCCTTTATTAATGAGAAGCCAGTATGTTTACAGAGTATGCTACTCTTCAAGAGTGGAAATTGCCCTGTGAGTGTCCTTCCCTGCTGCTTGGGAACAATCTGATGCTGTGAGCCATTAATGCTGTCCAGCTGACAGCCTGGCTGGTGTGTGACTGGGGGCAGGGAGCGAAAAGCAGATAAAGACTGGGAGGAAGAGAGTTGCATTTGATAAAACAAGGCACCTACAGAGTGGCTCTGTTCAGGGCTTGTAGCAAAGTGTGTCCTCTGGATCTGCTTGTTGGCCTGTCCAGAGGACAGAGGTCTACTCATATTGTGAGTTAGTCCATCAGCTGCAATGCCAGATGACTGGGTGGTAGATCAGTAAATCCCTGACCATGTTGAGTGAGGACCCCAGTTAAGGGTTTATGTGGTGTGACATAATGCAATTTTGTTCTTTGTTGTTGCTGTGGCTTTTAAAAACCTAGGAAATGTAATGACAAAGCATTTGTTAAAGTAATGCTAGTTACAAAGTCAAGAATGTTGAAGTCAAGGAATACCAGAATTAAAATCAATTGTGTAACCCTAAGTTGGCCTCCATGCACAGATGTGTCCTGAGAGATAGTGCAGTCCCATAGTTGCACACAATTTTCCCCGTAACACTATTGCCTCTTTTGCTGCAAGGACTAGTTTTCTTCTAGGGATGAAGCCCAGGCTTAAAGTGAGGGTGAAGGCTGTGTCATGGCAATTCTGCTGAGAACATCTTCCAGCCCAGCAACACTCAGAGATTGTCCATATGTAGTCCCACTCCCATGAGGAATCACTGTTGTCATCCTAGCCTTGCTGCAGTCCTCAAGGGCATGTCTGTTGATGTGGTTTTCAGCACACTGTCTGCTGAAGCTCTGCTTTTTTTTGGTGTGGAAGCTGGGTAGAGAGGTGTGGGAAGGGGAATAAAATGGAAAGTAGAGGAAGAGATTTAATCGTCTCAAGGGTGGATGATGTCAGTCGAGGGTCTTTCTTGGAGAATTGGATCCTGGTCATATCTCTGCTGCAGAGTTTCTTCCATGATATCGGAGAAGTCACCAGTAACAAAGCTTTCACAAGGACCATGAACAGATGCTCTTCAGGAGGCACCTGAAGAAGTGCTGTTTTAATCACAGCTGCCACAAGTCATTTGGGATCAGTGGCCGAACATGCAAAAATAGTGTGAAGAATCAGCCCCTGGCCTCTCAGGTGAATTAAGAAAACTTAGCAAACAACCTTACAGTAGCGGGATTGATTTGAATGTTCTGGAGTATCTTTAGAGTGGGGATGATACTGAAAACATGTTTTCAGGCCTGCAAAACATTCAAATATCATAAGCTCAACTTAGCGTCAGGAGGAGGCAAGGGGATGAACACAGTGTAGCAGAAAAAGCCATACACTGAATTTTCAAGGATGAAGAGAATCACTCTTGTCAAGGACAAGCAGAGATGTAAATCAGTTGTGCTGGGGCACTGAACGAAATGGGTGTCAGCAAGTGATGATGACATTAGAGCTAGAGAGGGGAGTCCAAACTAACACACCATGGTCTTTAATTCTGGGATTTTCTTACCGTGTTACTTGACTTTTCAACTTTGAGTCTGTGGCAGCTGTTGTGTATGAAACCTTGCAATGTCACTGTATTTCTGTGCTCCTGCGCTTTTCATTGACGGGTACTGAGTGACTGCCATTTTCTCATACTGAGATCTTTCAGGTGGAGTCCTCAATGACTGGTCTCGCATCACTATGAACCCCAAGGTGTTTAAGCTGCATGCCCGCAGTGGGGAGCTGGAGGTACTGGTGGACGGCACATACTTCATCTATAGTCAGGTAGAAGTGAGTACGGTCCTAGGCCTAACTCCTATTTTTGTGTTCCAATGGAAGCCTTGCATGAACCACGAGAGGGCTCCAGACAACTAGCAGATGCCAAGAACTTGTATGTACTTCTTACCACTTCGTGCTCTAGGAGGTGTGTGTAGGAGAAAGATGCTAAGACTTTTGAAGTGCCAGGTCACATGTTTCGCCCTTACACAAGCCACAAGAGATTAGTTACCAAAACCCATGTGCAAACACCCAGCCAGTCCCCATATGCCACCAATGCCTTTTTTTAATCTTCCATATTGTTTGCACAGTCATTCACCAGCCCATCTAAACCTCCCTGTAGAACAAGGGTCCCAGCAGGATGCGAGGCTCTGTGCTTTAAAATAGATGTAAGACCAAAACCCTGACAACTCATGATCATTTTGAAGCCATGTCACTCTTTGTAAGCATAGGACTCTCAGCCCACTTGGCTTGGCCAAACTCCAGCTCAGGTAACTCCATTTTGTCTCCACCTACTTTGTGTAGCTGCAGACTCACACGATACACTACATTGTGCAGTGGGATGGCTCAGCTCTGCTTTAGTTGGTACTGACAACAGATGTACAGCGCTGCTTCTGTAAGAAGGGCTAAACAAAGTAATAAATTATTGCATTATGATGTAGTAATCGGCTAATTAAAATGTAATTTCCTCTCCCCGTTCAAGTAAACTGCAGGACATGGACTGTCACGTAATGCACTGCTCCCAATGTCTTGCAAATCTCTGAACAGAATTGCTGAGCTGTGTGGAGTGTGGGCTCCTCCCTTCCAGAAATACAGGGTGTCCTCCCAGCTGTGGGCTGAAAAACATGTTCAGGTTCTGGGGCAGATTTTTAGCAAGACAAGAGGGTTTCTGTGTGACAACCACAATTAAGCAGCTTCCATCTTGCTCCAGGTTTCCAATACTACCTCTTGCTCATGATTTGCCTCTGTTTGATTGGCAGCCCCACTGGGGACTGTACCAAGTGTGATAAGGTGGGCTGTGGGTGTCAGGTGCTCTTCTATGGAACTGGTTACATGTCTAGTTTGGATGGGGATAGGAAACTATGTTAGTATAGGGCCAAAGTATAATTGTTTCCTGAGCAAAATTAGCTTAATGCTAATTGTTGGCCACAATTTTGTGCTTCCTTTGTAGTCCATCAAGGGAAAAGCAGTCTTGGGTAGCTTCTGAGGTTGCAGGGTTTAGGCTAAGAAGAATTAGCAGATGCATCCAGCAGATGCTGGTTTTCTTCTATGAGGAAGAAGCAGCTCCCTGGGACTGAATTCCTTAGACAGGTCTCATGCGTCTCACAGTTCTTCAGAATCAGTGTGTGGGAGATGGTTAAGTAACGACTAATGGTGTCACAGGGACTTAGGCACTAGGTCTAAGAATTAAATCAGTAGAAACACTACAAGGTCATTTGCTTCCAAGCTGTGCAGTTTGGGAGGGTGTCTTCCCTGTAGTAGCTTATGCCTTTGAAAGCACTTAAAGTCCAATTACAAAGAAGGCAACTCTCAGTACATCTTAGGGCATTTTTGATGTCAACACTAAGGAGGCTCATGGGACCCAGAAAGCAGCACTGGCCAGGTAAGTGCAAGAGGATTTCAGTTAAAATATTTCTGTTTGTTTGTTGGATGAAAAGCTGTTTGTAGCAGATAGGGTTGTCCACACATTTTTGTAACTAGGCCTGTGCAGGTTTGTAATTTTTCCTGTAATAAGCAGGGTCTAAAGCGAGTATTCATAGCTCAGCCTTAGATACATGGATTCACAGATTCTTGCATGCTAGTGTTAGCATGAAGTGGAAGTTTCCTCATGTTTGGTTGACTTGGTGTTCTTTCTGCCTCAAACAAGTCAATCTCCCATGAGTACAGGTGTCCTGCGGCCAAGGAAGGGATTATTACGTTCCCTCTGGAACATACGTGTACCCATGGAAAGGAATGTGGACTTGTTCTGTGTGCACAAATAACTCCCTAACACCCTTCTTCTTCCTGCTTCACATCAGGTATACTACATAAACTTCACAGATTTTGCCAGCTATGAGGTGGTGGTGGATGAAAAGCCCTTTCTGCAATGCACTCGGAGTATTGAGACCGGCAAGACCAACTTCAATACCTGCTATACAGCTGGGGTCTGCCTCCTCAAAGCCAGGCAGAAGATTGCTGTGAAAATGGTCCATGCTGACATCTCCATCAACATGAGCAAGCACACAACTTTCTTTGGAGCCATACGCCTAGGAGATGCACCAGCATCCTAGATGAACTTGGCATGCCCAAGGATACTCACAGAACTGCACAGTGCTGCTGTTCATAAGCGTATCAGTATTTCAGGGGGTTCTGTAATCCAGCCATAAAGAAAACTGATCCAGAGCTATTTATTCCTGTGTGTGAATGCAGGAAGCACAATTGTCTTCTGTGACTTGCATGGAGACTTGGGTCAAAAAGCTAGTTGAAAAAGCATTGTGAGGAAGAAAGGCTGTCGTGTCTGCCTTGTCTCAGTATTTCAAGTATTACTGCACTGATACTCTGCTCTGTGATCTTCACATGAGGCTTGTTGAGAGTTGTGTGGGTCTCTGCTTTTATGTTGCACTAGCAAGAGCATCCCAGGCAGTAGCGGGAGAAGACAGACTAATGTCCAAATTGTCCTATCCAGGCACTCCTGCTTCTGCACGCTAACAAAAAGAAGGAAAGGGCATTTCTGGTTTTCTGCCTTCCCAGTTCAGACTGGAGTGGCCAGAGGGTGCAAAGGGAGGTGAATAAGACAGGGTCAGTGGTGTTTACATTCATCCTCAGGAGCGTGAGCAAAGAGGGCGAAGTGCCTCTGCCTAGAAGCAGGCTGCAAAAACAAGTACATGTGAAAGGAAGAGGAATACTTAATAAAGCAGGCTTAGCAGATAGGAAACTGCCTCCACATTCCAGAAATCACCAAGTCCCAAAGAAAATGCTGATAACTGGTTCCAGTGCCTCTGCTACTTTCAGCTCCTACCATTACCCCAGAGGTATACCTTGCCCTAACGGGGACTGCCTTAAAGTACTGCTGCTGTTACAGCAATTTGTGTTTGGTTGGGGTTTTGGTTTGGGGGATTTTTTTGGTGTTTTTAATTAATATTTTTCAAATGAGAACACATTTCTACAGGCTTCACTGAGCCATGTAGAGCAGACACAAGTACTTGTGAAAACACTTTGAATAAGTTTGTCATGTTTAAGAATAAAATATTCAAACAGGATTTTTTTTCTGTTTTAATAGCAACTGTCCTGCTTTTAGATGTGGTTTTTATCCTTTCTGCCCCCACCCCTTTCCTTTTGGCACCCTTCTACCTAAAATGCTCTAAGTGGTGATGGAGTCTCTAGCAAGCCAAAAAAAAAAAAAAAAGTAGTATTTAAAAAGTCTGGTCCAGGATGAAGTCACCACTTTTTCTTTTCTCTGAGCCCTGCTGAGTCTAGTCATAACTCGATTTCTGGTGACTAATAGAAGAGCTGGGACACTATTGTTTCTTTTGGCTTCTTGAGCAACTCTCTCCCGTTACCTCCCCTCAACTGGGGAGACCTAAAGCTATAAGATGTGTTCGAGCTGAGGAAGAGGCTGAAGCGCTAATTGCTCTTTTGTGTTGTGCTTTGGCTTGTGCTTGGTTGTGTTGTGTTGTTTGGGGGTTTTTTTACTGGATTTCTTTTCAGAGCATGTTTTTTCTTTAAAAACTGAAGAGGGTAGTGAAGTTTCAGCCTATGTAGCAAACAGAGTCCTGAACCGACATTTTGGTGATGGCCTCCATCTCCAAGCAGAGGTGGTTCAGCCACAGTCACCTGCAGGGACATGGGAGCAGACGTGTCTCAGCACTGTGCTGATCTAACCACAGAGAGTCCACCCTGGCTGAAGCATTCTTGGCTCCGTTCACTTTTCCCCATCCGTAGTGAGTGATCTCACTTGCCAAGTATTGCAGTCATTGGGAGATAACTATTTCTTGGGGGCACCCAGCTTTGGCTACAGCCTTGCTATTCACAGGAGGCATGCAGTTTGTAAAATAACTGCATGAAAAATTGCCTGCTATTTCTTCTTCAGTATGTTCTCCTTTCTAGCCTCAACGTGTTGGACTAACAAGAGCCTTCGGGGCACTTAACCAGTGTTTGTGGTTTATTTCCTTTAACATGGGTTAAGAAGGACATGTTTCTTTGACAAGGATGAATTGGGACAACTGTGTATAGTGAGAAAATTAAGCAAATCGTAAACAGAATTGCTTTAGAATACAGCCTGAACAGCAAGTATTAGTGGCAAGCTTAAGTAACACAGTGACTTGGGAAAATGCAATGGATGGAGTTTGCATTCCTTGTCCCCCACTGGCAGGGTCTCTGATTTGCTCCTGACTATGGCTGTGGGCAGGAGGAGGCAGAGGGAGAATCCTTTCTCTCTCTCTAAAGGCCCCATGCATCACTTGCAAGTTCCTTCTCTGGCGTGTGCCTGGGATGAGGGAGAGGAGCTGAAAGGTTCCGTCCATGGAAGGTGTTAACAGGCTTTTTCTTGTGCTCATGTTACACCAAAGCATGAGCTCATTGTAGCCAAGTTGGAGACACGGTGTTGGAGAGCAGAGAATACTTGCCTGCAGGTGGCCTTGGTACCAAGAGACATGTTCGTCCCTGGGATGAGCAGGCAGACCACCAATCCTGTAGCAGCCATGGAGAGTCCTTGTGCTTGAAATCCTTTGGCTTCTCTAGCAACAAGTTCTCATTAATGAAGTATTACAGTGCAGGTTACCTAGGCTGTAGTATAGATTCTTCTATATGATGCTTCTCCAGATGGTGCCCCACCATCTTTGGTGCCTTTTCCTCTTAACTGGAGCCCAGCAGGCTTGGAAGCAAGCTCAGCTCCTCAGGGGAGTGTGAGAAGGATGGTTATGGCAGGTTCTAACAAACTCCATCAAGAACAGGGCCTTGCTCCATCTTTCCATCTGATGCCTTTGAATTTTGATGTACCTATCTCAGCTCCTAATCTGGTAGGGAAGGAAGCACTTCATCTGTAGACAAACACCTGCGTATTTGAGACGGTGCACACAAAACCAGTCACCACTAGCTACCCGTGTGCCAGCCCTCCTCTCCAGTGGCTCTGCTTTTACCTACGTGCCTTAGCTCTGCTGCCAACCTTTCAGCTGGATTCCAGCTGCATAAATGTGGCGAGCAGCTAATCGGTATTTAACACAGATCTGAAACCCTTCTCTCTCCCAAGCTCCTTTCTACAGAGACAATTCCTAGGGAGGCTGTTGTGTTCAGGGCCCCTTTTGAAAAAAGGATTCCCTTCAGTAAAGTCTTTAGGTCATGGCTCCCTGCCCAAAACTGTCCCTGCTTCTCTCCAGTGCCTTTCTAATGCAGGTAAGCAGTTGCAGTCTCCCTGCCACTCATTGTCCGCATCAGGAGACTTGGCACTGTCCTTCCACTGAGCGAGCAAAGTTGGGTGCTTAGAAAAGGGCACCCAAGCTGTGCTGGGAGGGAGATGAGCGCAGTGCACCCACTGGTCCATGTTTCTTCCCCTCTTCCCAGTAGCTGGTGGAGTGCAGGGAGTCCTTCCCACTCGCTGCAGGCTGGTGGCACTGGCCTGAGGCAGTACTGGCACAGGCTTTGGGGGACAGGGGAAGGGACAACTGTAGCTGCGCTTTGTGGCTGCCCCCAGTCACAAGCCTGAGCTTCCCCACCACCACGTTCATCACATCTCCAACTCCCCAGCAAAAGCGTAATGAGAGAGGAGTTGTGGGCAGAAAGACACGACTCTCCTGTTACCTCTTAGAGCTGCACAGTGATGTACTGATGCTGTTTTGTGCTTTGACATCTTTATTCAAGACACTATCTGTATATAAAATATACATAATGTATATAAATTAGGATGTAAGTTTATGTAAATTGTCAATATTTTCTTTGCAAATAAAGCTTTTTCCTGATCTCAGTGTACTCGCAGGCACGTCCTTCCCCAGCCAAACTAGGCGTTTCTGTGGAAAAGCTTTACTACCGCAAAGTGTGCTGACTGCACTTGTGCAATGGGACACAGCTGAAAGGCAAAGCATCTCCATCCTTTGGGGAGTATTTGATATGCAGCTGCTGTGGCCACCACCACCACTTGATGTGAGAGGTAGTGGTCCCCTCATTGCTGCCTGCTCAGCATTTGCTTTCCCAACTCCCTGCTGCTCTCTGGAGTCAGGGGAATGTGCAGAAAACAGCATTGCTCTCACGACTTACTGGGAAAGAAGTATAGACGATGTACCTAAATAACCTGATACCCTTCTGCCTCCATAATGCTCAGGCTGGGAATGAGCATCTGTCACCCCACAGTGCAGCTGGTGATGTTTGGCAAGTGTCTTTATCCCTTCTTCTACCAAGCCTCTGTCCTGCTGCTCATTCCTCCCTCCTTTGCAGACCTCTGACGTGAAAGTCTGGTGGGGGAGCAGGAGCATCAATCTCTCTAACAAACCACTCTGGAGCCCTGGGAGCTAGCCGGGAGGCCAGGAGTGGCCAGAAGCATGGGATGCCCTGTGATTTGCAGGAGCAAATCCCTCCTGTTCATGCTGTGTGGTTGGCTCTACCTTTGGCATGATCCATGAAAAGCCAATTGGCATTTGCAGGGTGCCTCGGACAGCTCTAGATCCGCACCCGACTCGCTCTGCTGGGTGCTCCTGCAAAGGGAGTTCACAGCCTTGGGATGCCAGTGCCTAGGGATTCTCCACAGAAGTCCCTGTTCAAAAATGGGGACTTTTCAGCTGATTTCATGGGCCATGCCCACCATGCAGAGCCATGCCCAGCAGGTTAGGATGCAGGGAGGAGAGGGCCGGGGATCCCCAGACGCTGGGGGCTGCACCACTTGCATTGCGTGGTTCCTCTCCTGCGTCACCTTCTGCTTTTGGGGCTCCACGCTTGGCTGCTGATGGGAGATGAGGGATGCTGGAGGCAAAGGTTCATCCAGAGGTCAGTGATTCCTTTGCCAGAGCCTGCACATTCCGTATCTGCACAGATGTGCTGTCCTCACCACGCCTCCAAACACAGCACTGGGCTGTTTGCTCAGAGCTGCCCCTGGCCCCAGCTGCTGTCAGAGCCCAGGTCCACAGTAGCATCACCCCAAACCATCAGCCCTGACCTCCGGGCTGAGCTCGGGCGCTGTCACTGCCTCATGTGCCCTTGCTCACTGGTGACGTTGGTCTCACTCAAGGCTGAACCATATCCTGGAGGTGACAAAGTGCTCCCCACCACATCAGCTGTGAGGAGAGTGAGGAGTAACAGCAGCAGAAGCCAGACTGCTTCATCCTCCAGATGTATACTTATGTGTGTGTGTGTGTGTATCAATATATATAATTTTTTCCTGACAGATACATCTAGGACTACAGCAACAGCTCTACAGCTGAAACTACAGTAAAACACATCCTTGGGCAACCATGCAGCAGCCTGGAGATGCTCCTTCAGATGGGAAGGAAATTGGCCACAGTGAGCAAAAATCCCACATGAACCTTGCACGGAGCTTGTCCCTGGGAAGCATGTCAGCACCAGGTGGCACAGGGACATGTACCACAGAAAAATCCCTGTGGGATCCCTCTGGGAGCCCGAATACCACCTGGAGCTGCCAGAGGGAAAGTCCCTGTCTGGTTCCTTCCCTAGGTGAGATAACACAGAAGCCATCCTCTAGGCATGGTGAGTAATGGGAATGTGGCAGTGAGAAGGACAGCACTGGCAGCATAGTGGACTCCTGGGGAGGAAGGCAGGGGGAGGGGGTGTGCCAGCTTTATACATCCTGCTGGGAATGGGTGGTAAATCCCGGGATGCTGCAGGAGAGTCCCCTCAGCAGCACAGGGAGAGGAACCTTCTCTGCCTCCCTGTGGTGAGCTCACCTGCAGCCCCGAGGTGCTGGGATTTCCACAGTGATCCCTGGTGGCTGCAGCCTGCAGCTTGATTCCCAGCTCGGCATGGTTGGGCAGGTCTCACCAGCTGCCCTGGATTAGCTGGTACAGAGCACAGCTTGCTCCTGGCATAGGACAGAGGAAGATGGAGGAAGAACCAGGTCCATGCAGCGGAACTCCTCCAAACCCTCTCAGCTGTCCCAAGTACCACCTCTGCCTCCTGGTATTTGATACCAGTGGCTGGTCCAGCAGATCACCTGAGCACCAGAGCAGCCCTGCCTCCTCCAATTTCCCTTCCTTGTGGCTTTCTGCACTGTTTTTCCCCCTCTGCAATCTTATGTCTTTCTTTTCCCACTTCCGTAGCTACAAACACCCACATGCATTATCTCCTTCCCCCATCCCATCCTGAAACCTATTTATACAGAGCCCAGCTCCTGCCCAGCTTGCCAGAGAGCACTGGAGGAGTGGGACAGGGCTGGCAGTGCCCGCAGCCCAACATGCTCTTGTTTGAACACCGGCTAGCTGAAAGAGGATGCTTGCTGCTCTGGTTGCTGCCATCCGTTCTCAGAGCCCAGTCTAGCGAGGAGGTGAAGCTCAGATCTGCACTGTGCCAGCAGGTAAGGCTGCTTTCCAAGGAGCCCCTGGGCTGGGATGGTCCCAGCAGCACTGCTGGGTCCGAGCGGGGCTGGAAGCATCCCTCTATGCAGCAGCACAGGGTGCATCTCCTCCTTATGGCGCTCACCTCCCTCCAACTTCCATCTCTAACCTTCCTACCTTTGATATCTTCTCTGCTTTCCCGTCTCTGAGCTGGTTCCTGGCCCCCAGCTGCTCCCATGTCCCTGCCATGCCAGTGGCACCTTCCAGCAATCCCTGCCATAGGGGTGTCAGCTCCTCCTCTGTCCAGACAGGACAGGGGTGCTCTGGACTAGCCCTTGGGCTGTCCCAGTGCCCTCCAGAGGCTGAGTTTGCCCCACCAGCCTGATGCATCTTCAGAGCTTACACTGCATTTTTACTCATCTTGCTTGCCGGGATGCATGGGAGGGCAGCCTGCAGGACCCAAGGCTGACGTTCCTTTTGCACCATCCCAGACAACTCAACAGTGTCTTACAAAGCACACCTTAGCCCTGGGGACAAGCTTCTTGTCTCTAAGCAGTAGCTTTAGGTGGTCTGTTCCCATCCTGGGCTTGGGAAAGGGAGCTGTGCTCATGTCTGTGTTGCTCATGTCCACCTTGGACAGCAGCTGGCTTGGCTGGGGCTGTGGTTTGCAGACCCTCTCATGCTGATGGCTTCTCCTGTCCCTCCATAGAGCCCCACAAAGGTGTCTTGCAAAGGAGTTGGCCTGCTCAAGCTTCCAAAGGAGCTTGGCCAAGGAGTGAAGTTCCTTGAGCTCTCCAACAACTTCATCCAAAACCTGTCGGGCAGCTCCATGACAGGGTTTGAGCAGCTCGAGTACCTGGACATGTGCTTCAACCAGCTGGAAGCTGTGTCAACCACAGCCTTGGCTCAGCTGCCTCAGCTGCGCTCTCTCCTCCTGGGATCGAACCACCTCGACCGCAATTACCTCGCTAATGGACAAGCCTTTCGTCTGCTCAGGAATGTAGAGGTCCTGGACCTGTCAGCAAACAACCTGGACAGCCACATGGCAGGCTGGTACATCCACAACCTCACCAGGCTGAGGGTGCTGGACCTCTCCAGGAACAAGATGACCAAGCTGCTGGCAGGGATCTTCCAGAGCACGCCATGGCTGCGCGAGCTCCACCTCAGCAATAACTACATCATGGAAATCGAGGAGGGAGTCTTTGAGGCTCTGGAAGAGCTGGAGGTGGTGAACTTGGCTTTGAATTCCCTCCACTGTATCTCTGGCTTCAGCCTCACACAGCTGCGAGTTTTAAATCTTAGCCACAACGCCCTGGAGCTGTTCACCTCGGAGGAGGGAGCAGCTGCTCCCTACCTGCTTCAAGTGCTTGACTTGAGCCATAACAGACTACTCTACTTTCCAGAGCTCCCCAAAGTCCATTATCTCACACACTTAAATCTCTCCAACAACCTTATTGCTTCCCTGCTCCCAGGCTCACACCACCCGGGGGAGTTTGTACTGCACTACAAGGAGATGGCGAGGTTTAACAGGACCTTGCATACTGTGTCTGCTCTGACACATATGGCTGACTTGGATCTCAGCAATAATCGGCTACAGCTTTTCCCATTTACCTTCTTCCACAGCCTGGGCTCTCTGCACCACCTCAGCATGGCTATGAACTGTCTCCAGGATGTAGCCAGGGAGTCGCTTACCAGCAGCATGGAGCCCAGCGACCACACACCAGCACCACCAGAGCACGCTGCCTTGTCTGTGCACTCGCTGGACCTCCATGGCAATGCCTTCCGCATGCTGCCACCCTGGTTCTTTAGTGCTCTACCTCAGCTGGAAATGATCGACCTGGGCTCCAACAGCCTCCAGCCTTGTGAGAGCCAGGGGGGGAATTTGGGAGGCACCTGCACCCCCTTCTACAACGTGCCTCACTTGAAGCATCTGAGTCTTTACAAGAACAACATCACCAGGCTGCACCCTTACGCCTTCAACCAGACCTCACTACTCTCCCTAGACCTGTCGGGGAACAAGGACTTGTTCATGCCTAAGGAAGCCCTGGGGGGGTTGGAGTTCTCCCTGCAGAAACTCTCTCTGAGGGGCAACCAGATGGACAACAGCAAGGCAGAGCTCCCCTGCCTGGGCACGCTCAAAGTCTTGGACCTCTCAGGCAACAATCTGAGCTTTCTGCCCACAGGTCTTTTCTGCTCCCCACTGGAAAGCCTGGATGTTCGCAATAACCAGCTGCTGATGTTGGAAAAGCCGGCGCTCATGAGCTGGTCCCGCAGCCTGAAGGACGTGTCCATCACTGGAAACCCCTTTAGCTGCTGCTCTCTGGCCTGGCTGGACATGCTACAGGCTGCTGGTGTGGGTGTGCTGGACCTGGATGAAGCTCTCTGCATCTACCAGGACGAGAGCAGCAACTTCTCAGCCAAGATAGCCAGCAGCCCTCAGTGGCTTTGTCCACACCCCAATGACACCAGCTCTCTGGCTCTGCTCGTGGTCATGATGAGCCTTTTCTTTCTCAGTTGTGGGGCTTGCTGCCTTCTGAAGAAAGGGCAGAAGTCACCAGGGTTTGCTGGACTCCAGAGCAACAGTGTGGGGGTCTTGCCCCACCATCCCAAAAGAGAGGAGCCAGCCGAGGCAAGGCCAGCAGACAGTGTCACCAAAGTGTAGCTCAGCCCTGGGGAGCAGGACCTGTTGCAATCAGTCAGAACTCTAATTATTACTGATAATATTAATAATGTTATTGTATTTTAGGTCTTGTCACCGGTATCCTGCATGTTTTGCAAACCAAATAAAGGGAGCATGGTTGGTGCTGAGCTCTGGGCTGGGCAGAGGTAGTCTCTGGACCACCTCTCCTTCTTGAGAAGGAAGGTGCCCCCATCTGCTCTGTTCCCTGCAGGAAATAAAACACACTACAAGCAATTGTGGGTGAGTTTTCTGCCCTGCCATTGTACATTTTCATCACCCAGGACAAGAAGCCAGAGCCTGGGCTGGTTGGTTTCATCTGCCCCCACTGAACCCAGCACACTCTGCTTGTGGAAAGGTTATTGTCTCCATTGGTGCCACCTGAGTGTTTTACAGCTCTCCCAGCAGCCACTATTTGCCTTTTAAGTAGGTTTAAATTGCTTGGCTAAATACCTGCTCCTGCTCCTGCTCCCAAAAGCATTCCCCAGCCCAGCAGTGAGGAGTGGGCAGTGGCAGGGAATGGTGTGGTGGTAGGTCCGCATGCTGGTGTGTGGAGGGGGTTTCTGCAGGATCCTACACGCCCCTCTCGTGCCTTTTCCAGCCAAGCTGTCTCCTGAACAGTGCTGTGGCATTGGCAGGGCTTAAAATGACCCAAGGCACTGCTGCGTGTGCAGGAAGGAAATCTGCCCTGTCCTCACCCATTGAGATAGTGAGAATGAGAGAAAAGCAGTCTTGTGGTGGATGGTGGGGCACTGCCTCTCCAAGGGGGGTGCAGGATGTGCCGATCCTCAGTGACTGGACTCCCAAGTCAGTGATAGCAGCTCAGTCCCCATCACAGGGGTAAGTGCTGGCAGAGCCGTGGTCCTTAGTGCATCTGACACCCTCTGAGCATCTCATCCACATATCAATAGTGTTTAATACTGGGGGGGGGACGACACTAGGACCTCCGCTAGGGAGGGCAGCAGGAGAAGGTGCTAAGCGGGATGGTGAGCTGTAACGGTGATGTGGGATGGCTGTTGTCATGGTGATGCTCCCAGTCCGCACACGGTGTCTGTCTGTCTGTCCCAGGTGTGAATGTCCAGCGTCCCAGAGCAGAGTGGTGCTGCACCCCCCATGACAGGAGCACCTCAATGGCTGGGGCCAGCTCTGTGGAGGGATAAAAATAAGGCTGCAACAAAACCTTTTATGTTTCACATCTCTTTTGTTCCACCTTGAAAGTCCCCAGCTGGCCAAGGCCACCTACTTCTCCACATACCTGGTGGGTTAGAGGCTGTGAGTGCAAAAAGGGTTGGAAGTCACTTAAAATCCCAATTACTTCTTTCCTTTTTTTTTTTTTTTTCTTTCAAGCTTATCGTGGTTTTACTGTGAAGCAAAGGGCATTTTTGCTGTAAAACATATGCCTTCCCCATGCTGCCCATATTGCTGCTGGGGCTGCAGCTTCCTGGCCTTTGATGGGTATCCGGCTCCCAAGGGACTCCCAGCACCTTTGATGGCCCCATATTTCTATTATTGCCTCAGTTTCCCTTTGATCTGACTCTCTGCACCTCATTATGGCAAGTGACTGGCCATGCCAGTGTCTGGGGCATCCCTGGGAAGCCTGGCATTGCATGTCACCACCCTGCAAGAACCTCTAAATTGGGCAGGCTTTCCTGCGTGCCCACCAAGTGAGTCCAGTGCAGCTTCGGCCAGTCCCTAAAGCTGTGCCAGCCCCCTTCTCCAGCCCAGGCGCTTGGGGACATTACAGGGACACTCTCCAGGGCTGCCTGGACAGAACCCAAGATGCTGGTTGCCTTCGGTGGGTGTTTCTGGTACATTTTGTGTGGCCTGTTCCTCATTTAAACCCCCTCCCAGGCTGTACTTTCCATGCATGTCACCATAGGATGTCCTGCCCTTTGTGCTGCTGCTTCACCGGCTCCCACCAGCATCGTCCTTGCATTAAGACTTGCAGAGATTTGGAGCCTTGCAGTCACACAGAGGTGGGTGTTCAGGGACACTGCATGCCACTGGGTGCTCAGTCAGTGCCAGGCACTGCCTTGGGCTTCCCAAACGCTCCAGAGCCGTGTTTATCCAGCACTGTTGACACAAGGCTGTGCTGTGTCCCTGTGGACCAGCAGCAGCTGGTAGTTGACCCATGAAGGGACAATGGGCTGCTGGTGCCTAAAGTTTTCTCCAGGTTTTAGAGCATCTTTTAAAGCACACACTAAAAATGAGAAAGTATTCTGGTACTGGTTTTACCCTGTAGGGAGGGCTCCCAAAGATACATAAAGTTTAGGGAAAGAGAGGTAGAACAGAGATGCTGGCCTTGCTGAGGGACAGGGAGGCTGCCAGAGTGCAAGGGAAGGGGAGATAAGTTTCTTTTGACAAGAAAACCTGGACAATCCCCAAGGCCAAAGAAGGGTTGTGAAGGTACAGGAACTGAGCCAAGGAAATGGCATGTTGGGTTATTATCTTTATTGATTTCCATGTGCTTTCCCAATTCAAAGAAAAACATGATTCCAGGTTGTGATCTCACAGGTACTACAAGAACTGAATCTACGTCAGCTCCAAGGACAATGTACCCTTCTCCCACCAACAGGAAAAGCGTCATGCTTCCAGCTTGGCCAGGAGCAGGGCACAGGGTGAGCACCCAGGGCTTGGCTGGCAGAGGGGACAAAGAGATGTGACTGGGCTGGCCAGACCCTGCCCCTGCATTTGCGTCAGCAGAAACCAGCACAAGTTACCCACAAGGTCAAGGAAGACGCGGCTGGGGTCCTGGCTGGTGGTACAGGGAGTATGTCCTGTGTTGTACACTGCTCCTCAGGCTGAGCTTCCCATGGTTTACAGGAAATGGTTGACTTATCCCAGGGATGTCTTGGCATCTTGAGCTTTTTCTTGACCTAAAATGAGGACAAAAGATCTGTAGAATATTGAAGTTCAAACAAATAAAGTGATGATGCCAAAAATGATGCATTTTCATGTACAGCTGTAAGGCAGTAGGAGTATAAATTCTGGTCTGAAAAAAACATCAGTGGTGGTTAAAATATTGTGACCATTTACAAATTTTCTAGGGAACACTAGTTGAGAAATCCAGCCAAACTCATTCTTTCCAGTGGAAAGCCTCCACATTTCACTGGATCTGCATTTTCAAAGAAAAAACAGATTTTATCAAAAATTTCCAACCAGCTGTTCTGCTAACTCATGTGGAAATTACCTTGTCTGCAACTAACTTCTATTCAGGGGCACTTTTTTTCATTTTTCCCTTTCCATGGAGATAGAGCTGGAGCTTCATCAGCTTCAAGAGCTGAAGTATTTCCTGGTTTCTGGCTGGCAGGTATTGCTTCTCAAGCAGGAAAAGCACTTCTCATCCTCTGTGTTTAGAAGGAGCACAGGTTAGCCTAAAACTCCCCAACTCTCTTATAAGATAATGCAAGATAATGTGCTTGTGCTGTTGCAGGGCATGAAATCACTGTAGCAGAGAATGCTGTTTCCCTCCCTCTGCCCAACAGCTCCTGCCCTGTGTTTCACCAACCAAAGAGCTCAGGTAAGTCCAACTCCATGCATAGACACAGAACAGCTCCTGAAAGTACTGTTTCATTTAGTTTTTGCTGATATTGCTACAATATGTGTTCCCAAACGTGGTTGATCTTATAAACCACTGTCCTCTTAACCACAGCTTGGCTCCCCATGGCAGGGTACCTTTTACGTGCTCCTGGCTAATACAGCAGTTGCTCTGCAGCTTTGCGATGGGACAGAGGGCTGGTGGCAGTGGCTTGTCCCAGTGTGTCATCTCTGGGACATCACCCGCTGCGTCCCTCCCATTTGTAGGGCTGAGCCACTGCTGCTTTCCATTATCACTCACTGTCACAGCCTCCGCTACGTGACTCAACAAAACTCCCCTGGCAGCTATTTCTAGCACACTTAGTGAGGTTGGGCATGTTATTCATGACACTTTCTTCCCTGCTGGTGGGGCTCTGGCCAGGCTGGGACCAGCCACCAGTTCTGCCGCACACAGACCTTCAGCCAAACGAGACTGTAGCAGGGGCCAGATGGAGAAGGCAGCTCCCAGCATCTCCCCTGCCTTGCAAAGTCTTGTATTGCCTTCTGCAGCACCACTTGCCTCAGCTGTCCCGGGCTGCTGTGGGGGGAGTGCAAATGTGGACACATGTTCTGCAGCTGGATCCCCCAGCCCTGCTGCCCAGGGACCCTGGGGACAGAGTGTGCTGCAGTGGCTGCCGTTGTGTGTGGTGCCCACACTCAAAAAAACCTGCCAGGGCTGCCAGCAGCACATGAAGCATCACCACCTGTCTCCTACAACTTGAACCCACAAGCAGGCACAAGACCCATGGTCCCTGGTCCCAGCTGTGGGGCACTGGATGGCCATAGCAAAGCTGGAAGGCAGCATCATGTGTAAGTGGCTCTGGAGAAGATCAGCTGGCAGAAGCAAGTCCTTGCAGGTCCCCACCACCCCGAGGCTGTTTCTCAGTATCCGTCCTGTGGTGAGGTCACTGATTCCACCACTACATCAGAAAGAGGAAGGTTTCACAAAACGAAAGCAATCCTCTTCCGCAGGGCACTCACCTGGTGCCAGGGGTGACCCACACCAGCATCCCCAGCCTCCGGAGGGGATGGGATACTCCCAGGTGCCTACTTGCAGCAGGGATCTCATCCACAACCTCCGGGACATGGCAAGACCTGGCCAGGGAGCATGACCTGCCTCCTCGGAGAGACGTCAGTGCCACATGACAGCGTGCCACTGCCACCTGCGTCACCACGACCCAGCACTGTCACAGCTTCCCGGGCAAAAGGATGTGGCTCCTCACGAGGGAGGTGAGCCTGGGGGGGGGGAGTAC